GCTGTAGCATTAAAGAGGTCATTCCCGCTAGACTGAGCCCGGCGCATGTACTGTAGCCTAACGACAACACTGTTCAGCAGAGCCGTGTGTTTGTATGTCTGAGTGTGTGCACATATTAGCTGCTAATGGCATCGACAAGCCCGATTAATTCAGCTTAGGGCCGAGTATCTGGATTCCAGTGTGTGCTTTTAACTCCTTGTTCACTGTTTGAGTCATAACTGTACTTTACATGCCTCACTACAGAATGTCAACACGTACGGTAACCTCACATAAGATTAATGACTGACTTCTGGACCCTTTCACTGGGTAATAGCCATCCATCCTCTGTGTTGTACTAATAGTCACGTCAGGATGAAGCCTGAATGTTTCCTTTTCTAAGGTTGCCCTGACATTCTGAGTCTCTTTGAGGCTTCAGCATTTGAAACGCAGCTCAGTCGGGTTGAGCTCTTCCCTAAAGGGAGCGAGAGCAGCGTATCACTGCACTGGTTGTTTGTTTAAAACTTGGTTAAAACTTTGAAACTGAAACAGGGAGATCTGTTCTGATCGTAAGTCTGCAAGTTTCTGATTAGCGAGGTTTACGCTTGGCAACGCAGCAGATGGGTTCAGTTAGCCAACATCCTCTGTGGCCCCGCAGGGCTCAACACACAGTTTTTCTGCACGTGTGCCACATGTAAACACAGACGAACCGGGTCTGCATCTAAATTATGATCAAATGAGACCAATCAGGATTGTGTCTGAGTAAACATCTACCTCATATCAAACAAAAACAGGAATATGGAGCGCATATGGAGAAATAACATGGAATGAGTTTAATGAATCAACAATATCTGTTAAACAAAACATGCTAAATGAGGGCTGTTAACCTTTTCAATTATAGGTTTTCATATGTTCTGCTCAAAGCAATCTTTTTTACGCTAAGAAATGTTTAAAAATTATGCAACAGAACAAAAACCTCAACACTGACATGCTTCCCAATAATTTCCTAATCATATGGTAAAAAAAAACCTAAATAAAATAGTCAGAAAGGATTCATAAGGTGTGGTTTCCACAGCTTTTGATCTTTATTCAGCATTCTTTATTTCATACCACAGGTTTATTTTTCTATGAATTGACCAGAAAGTGTTAAATCACCTGTTTGAATAATGATGATTTACTCAAGGCTGCGAACCATAAACACAAACCAGCACAATCCATCTTGCAGTAAGGCACATAAATGATGAATGCATTGTTCATACTTTTAACTAAATAATTGTGACTCAGGATACAGTTTCATGTATTATATTTTCTTTTTCCTTACAGCAACATTCCTTTAAAAAAGTAGATTTTTATATATAAAAGAGGACACTGTACACATGATCAGATTAAACCTTTACAGGAACTTAAAGTCAAATGTGAAAATGTCTGTTTGTAAATGATAGATGGATATAAAGCTGTAATAGCAGCTGTCGAGTTTTTTGGGGTATCGCAGCCAAATTGGGTGGAGAGCTTCTGTCACAGGTTCTTAGTGGGATTTAGATCTTTACTTTGACAGAGCAATTCTAACATAAGAGTATGTTTTGATCTAAACCACCCTATTGTAGCTCTGGTCGTATGTTTAGGGTCGCTGTCCTGCTGGAAGGTGAACCTTCTGCATCCTGTATTCAACTCCATCCATCTTCCTAACTCTGATCAGCATCTCTGTCCCTGAGGAAAAATGCAATCCCACAGCATGATGCTGCCATCAACATATGTGCACTTCCTTTTTTTTTTATGGGTGACTCACAGAGTTAGTTATCAAGCACACAGACCATTTGGCATGTGGGTCAAAAAGTTTCATTTTTGTATCATCTGACCAAAGCACCTTCTTCTCATGGCTTTCTTTAAACAATAGCTTTCTGACATATTTGCTGAGTGTTAAAGGGGGTAACAAGACACGACACCGAAGGGCTCTTTGGTACCCGCGCCTGCACCATATGCAGATGCAACTGTCCTCAACACAGCTTTTATAGGTTTGATTCCCAGTCCCAGGCCATTTACTGCGGGTTATCTTCTCCCACTTCGCATTTTCCTGTCAAGTTACTAACATATAAAGGCCGGCAGTGCCTCAAAATTGTGAAGTTCATGACCAATAGTTGCCCTGTCAACAATTTCTCCCACCTACCTTGTGCATCTCTGCAACTCCTCCCGAGTTACCATTGGGCCCTTCGTTGCTTCTTTGATTAATGCTCTGCTTGCCCAGCCTGTTAGTTTAGATCAGTTCCCAAATTTTACCCCTAAAATGACAGTGCCAGAAAATGGCAACCGCCTAAAAATACATAGAATTTTTACACTCTATTTTTGTTAATAAAATATAGAGAAATAATTCTATGTATTTTTAGATGAATTAGTCTTTGTCAAATGACATTTGATTATTTAATTTCATGATATATATTTTTTTATTATTTAATGGGACATTTCATGGTACATTTATTAATTTCATGCGACATTCACGTTTATTATTATCATTTTTATTCATTTTATCTTCTCCTTTTTGTCCTCTCCATACACCTCAGAGGTCGCATCACGATTACTCTGAAAATCATCTGCTGACCCCCCACTTGGTGTCTCATGACCCCCACTTTGGGAACCCCTGGTTCAGATGGGCGGCCTTGTCTTGGTAGTTTGCAGTTGTGCCATTCCTTATCCACTTTCAGATAATGGATGGAACATTTTTCTGAGATGTTCAAAGTTACTGATGTTGTTTATTCCACCTTTAAACATCTCCAGAACGTTATCCCTGACCATTCTGGCATGTTCCTTTGTCTTCATGATGCTGTTTTTTCAGAGATCAGTTGGATTCATTTTGAAATTAATAATACACAGGTGGACTCTATTTGCCAATTAGGTGACTTCTGAACGAATTGCTTGCAATGGATTTCATTCAGGGGTTTCAGAGTAATTGGGCCTGAAAACAAACACGTCTCGCTTTTCAAATCTTTATCCATGAAGTATTTTAGAAAACCAGAGATTTTTTTTTAACTTCACAAATCTGTGTTGTTTTGTACAGGAGGATCACATAAAATCCCAATAAAATATCCTGAAGTTTATGGTTGTAACAGGACTAAATGTGATAAAAGCTGTGAAATGCTTTTTAAAGCACTGTATCTGCATTCGGCTCTGGATGGAGGTAATGGAGTGAAAAACATTTGACTCCACGAGAATTTCCAAAGTCGTTGACTATTTGTGTATGCTGTTAAAGAGGAAATGTGGTCATCTCTGTTTTAAGAATAGTGCCAATTGTTCATATGGAAACCAGTGGGTAGGAGGGAGCAGGGGTATGTGTTTTGGCCCTGCTATGGTGACATGTGCCTGGATGAAACAGCTTCCATTTACGGATCAACCCCACCCTTGCTTTTCAGACCAGCCACCCAAGTTAATGACAAACTCTGCAGGCCAGTCCCACGGCCGGTCCACAATACACCCATTTTTAATTATTAACATCTTTACAGACTCCCTAAAATCTATGAGGGCACAGAGGAACATCTTCTGAGTGAGACTGCGAGATGATAATCTAAATTAATACGCTTTACACTACTTCTGCACAATCCAGATGCTATGTTTCTGTTTTCCTGCGTCATCCAGAGGAACCAGTTCATGAATAAACATGAATTAGCATTAAGCTGCTCAGATTAACAAGCAGTTTTAATGGGATTTAAGTCAAGCTGCATTATGTGTCCATTTGTGTGCGTTCATGTCCACTTTCAGAACCTGCTCGGATAATTCTCTTAAGGCGGGTGTAATGCTGCAGGGTTCCTGCACCGTCAGCTTTCTCCTCACTGTCATTTCTTCTTTCATCCTTTTCATTCATTTGATGTGCTTCCTCCTAATCTTCCCTGGGCTGTCGACCTCACAAACACACAGAGGAGACACTCAACCACTGATCCACAGCTCCTCATTGACACAGAAGAAAAAAGCCTTCCTTGTTCTGTGTGCTTAAGTGCCTGCCTCGGTCTGTGTGTGTGTGTGTATGCATGCATGAATATTTTAAAAGTCTAATTTGCTGCATGATATCAAGCTCACCAGCTGCTGAAGGAAGGATTACATCAACATCTGACCCATTGTGGCTCTGAAATGTAACTGTCAAACTGAGTGCAGTACTCCACTCAGCTATATTCTGCATCTAATGAATGGGAACTGTGCATTTTCAATGAGAATCAATGATTCAGGAGCTTATATAGCAATAAAACCCTGTCTTTTTAGGCAGAATGGTTTACCCCATTGTGGAGTGGACTGATTGTTGCAGACAGGCCAAATGACCTTAAATATGAACCTGTCGTGGTCCAGAACAGGGTTAAGACACATTTTTCATGTCAAAGTTCAACACTTTTCCAGACAACTTTCCAGACGCCTCATTCCTTTTGAGGTTCATTTTTAAAATGTAAATACAGAAATTCACCAAGAATCTATGGCGCATAATTCTACATTACTCAGGTTTTAAATATAGAAGCTGGAACAACAACAGACTGCAGAGAAGGAGGCGAGGAGGGAGGAATTGCTGGTTGGGGGTAACAGATGGACGAATGGAGGAAAACATGGATGGACTGGTTAACAGATGGAAAAATGGACGGATGGGGAGAAAGACAGACAGAGAGAAGGATAATGGAGGGACAGATGATGGGTGGATGCATGGAGGAATTAATGTATGAATGGATGACAAAAAGATGAATGGACCAATAGATGGAAACATGTATGCATAAATAGAGGAAAAGAGGGATGGATAAAGAGACGAACAGATGGGTGAGGAAATGGATGGATGACTAGCCAAATGAAGGGATGGATGAAAAGACAGACGGATGAATGGAGAGAACAAATGGAAAGATTGTTGGATGGACTCAGAGACACAGGACAAACATGCACACACACACTCATACCTACAGGCATTTTAGAGTGACCAGTTAACTTTAACCATGCGTTTGGAGTCTGGGAGGAAGTTGGAGTAGAAGGAGAGCACCATGCATGCTAGCGGAGAACATGCAAACTCCATGCAGGTAGATCAATGGCCAGGATTCAAACCCGGGACCTTCTTGTTGCCAGCCAACAATGCTTACCACTATGTCACCATGCAGCCTGGATGGGTAGAGAAATGATGAATAAATGGATAAATGGAAAGATGGACGTTCATACGAATGGATTTACAGATGTTACCTGATAACTTTAAGACAGTGGGAATAAAGTAAGAAAACTGACCTAATTTCCATATTCTTTTCGTCTTAAATGAAGTTCCATAGTTTCCAATGCTCTGTCCTAATGATCTCTTCAGCAGTCCAGAACCTGTTTGACATCTGTGTCCAGATTTAGTGTTTATTTTTATAAAAGTATACATGTTGGATCTATCAGTGTTTAATATCTGTAAACCAGAGACCCAGTTGTTCACTTTTATTTTTGTCTGGCGGCCACATTCTTGTTTGATCCCTATTATATCTGCGTAGAAATTCTGTTAAAAAAACGACCAATAATTGATCTGCTTTAGCAGGAAGTCTCTTGATCATTTCACAAATGATGGCAGGATTAGAATATTATAGATTTTCAACCCTGACCTGGTATCTCCATAACCTGAGCTAGGAAAGGTAATAGAATAAATAAAAGTAATAAAAGATAATAAATTAATAATACTGTAAGTTTTATTTATTAAAAAAACGCTCTGATTGTCATGCAAAAGATATTACATCAAAATGTGTCCAACTTAATTCTAAAATCTGGAAAAACAGAGATTTATCAATGCAGGAAAGCTCAAAATTTAGTTTTTAGCAATGCAGAATTCAAGGAGAACCTAAAGTATCCCAAAACAAACAAATAAATAAAAACAATCCATAAATAACATAAATAACATAATAAAATTGTTTGAGGGGAACATATATTGGACTCTAGCATGCTGGGAAATGATCCAGTGAGTTCTGATTCATCTTGCTCTAGACTGGAAAAAAAGAAAGTGAAAGAAACTCTGATCATGACTGGGACCCTCCTTACAGGCTGGTAGAGGGAGTGTCATGATCTGGGATTGGCATGTCTATTAAAAAAGACGATAATAAAATGTTGATATTATAAAACTTATGGTTGCCACATCGAAAAGTGCATGAAAGAAAAGAGTTCCTGTACATAATGATATAAGCACGAGCAAGCATGTGGGATAAGAATGTGTTAAACCCCGGCTCAATATGGCCACAGACTTGCAATTCCCAGCATGCAATGACAAACCACATCAGTGCTTTTAAAGCTCAGTCAGCCGTGGCTGGGATTTGGCTTGTGGCACATGGGCAAACAGTGGAAACCACCCTCCGGCTAATAGGCGTAGCTGGAAAAATGCTACAACGGAGGGGTTAGAAAAAAAATATAAGAATGTGTTGAAACAAATTTAACTGTTCAAACCATTAAAGCAGTTGTAATTCACAACATTAGCGGAAGACTTTATGTAAAATAGAAGAACGTCAAGCTACATGCTGTTTATCTGCATGGATCACATCTGTGACCAGCCAAGTGGAAGTTTAATCAAACATCATGCAGAGCCTTGAGAATAAACAAATGCACCATAACTAAAATAGCTCATATATGTGAAATGCTGTACACCTTCAACATAGAGCCGGTCCAATACAGAGCCTCAACCTCCACCTACAAACAAATCTGATGCCTTTAGGTCCAAAACTCTTATCCATCACCTGACAAAATGACTAACAGTCTGGTAAAAGCCACATTTAACATTCAGGTTATATAACAATGTTTAGCTGATTTCCTAATCTCGCTGCTTTAATCTATGATCCACATTTAACATATTGGTAAAAGAAACAACAGTTAAACGAAACTCTAGATAAATGCTTCAGTGAACTGTGTGAGCCTAATCTGATGTCATATCTTAACTCAGATTGGGATTAATGGACCCTCAATCTAACTCCATGCACTGTTCTGATTTGGGGGGTTTTCAAACAGAAACCGGACACTCTTGTATTCCAGATTATTAAAAGTTATAAATATTATTTTTACATTATAAAGTTATTCTAGTGACACTGGATGGCCATGGACCTTTTCTATGGCTAGTGAAGGTTGGACAGTCACAGTCATTTTGACAACTACAACAAAGACAAATCTTAATGTTTTTATTTTGTGTGTTATGTATATAGGGTATCTAAAAGTGTTACATGGTATAAAGATAAATAGAGGAGCATTTTGTTAAGTATCAAGTACTGTTACACCAGATCCCATTATTGAAACACACGGCAGATGTGCAAAAGAGTGACGGGGATATAAGAGATAATTCACAAGAATTTAACTGAAGCAACTAATTAAAACAGAGATGAAGATGACAGTTATTTTAGTAATCAAGTATTTTGTTATTCTGACGATTAATCGAGTAATCAGATAAGAAAACCGCCATATTCTGCAGATTTTTCATTTAACTACTTAAGCTTATTTATAAATAGAAATAAATGAAAGAGAAAATCCAAGTAAACAAATAGTTCCACTCCTTTTTTTTTTAAATCTACATTTTATTGTTTAAAATGCAATAATACAGCATTTCTACAGCTAAAACAACACCAAGATGTCAAAAGCTCAGCCCTTTCTGTTTGGCTTAACATACATACAATGCTAGCTGCCTCTCTAGTGAAAATTATCACAATCAAAAAAGTGCATAAAGTGTCACTTGCATATTGCATTCTGAATCACAATGTCCAAACCCCTTTCTGGGAGCTTTAGCACTTCTGTCATTAAATCTAGATCAAATCTAAAATTGGTCTCCAGGGTGTTAAAGCACGTTGCATCCAAGCAGTTATTTGCGTCTGGGATGTTGCAGTTGTGCAGCTCTAGTATATACTGTGGTGTGGAACAGCAAAAGCTCTTAGCAATTTACCAGAAAATAAATCTAGATCTAACAGACAACAAATGATGCTGTCTAGTTCATATATCCCTACACATTTCTATTAATCTCTTTTGTACTTGAATGTTCTCCCTCCCACCCTAGACACAGTTAATAAAATGGTAAACAAGGGTATTTTTGTGTGGCTTTAAGATAATAATTTTGGACCAAAGGTAACTAGACTATTCCAACCAAGAGCAAATTAAATAAAGCAGACCCAACCTCCAAAAACCAATGTCATGAATGATAAACTGAACTAAAATAAAGTAAGCTTCCAAAAGGTGCATCAAGGACACAAAAATGACCACAATCAATAACCAATAATCAGCTCCCTGATGATGGACACATAATTGTCACTAATCAATCAATCCTGAGCTTTTCTCATTGTGCTTATCATGGCTGCACTGTGAGGCTTGTGATGATAGTGGGGTGGCAAATAAAACACACTTTATTGGCTGACTAACCACATTCCCATTTATTCGAGGAACACAGCAACAAATCCATCAGCCCTGTGAATCCTAAGAGCTTCCATCATCGTCTCTGCTCCTGCTAGTAGCCTGCAAATAAACAGACGGGGGATTTAATATCACAACAGTAACTCGCTGTGCATGACTCAGACCTCAAATAATGTCAATGAGATAAATATTTTATCTCCCCTGGTCTTTACACCGCTTCATCGTTCATACCTCTGAAAGAAGTCAATAGAAGTAAGCACGGTGAAGGTTGTGTGTCCATCAATAATCAATACTGGCTGAGATGGGCCGTCTTCACCTGAAACTTTAAAGATTTAAGCACAGGATGCATTAAGGGGAATGTGCTGGGTAATTGATAGTCAATAAGATGTTTCTTTTTATATTATACACTGTTATGAATAAAACAATGGCCAAACATGAATCCCTTCTGCAAGAAAGATCTGTGTGTCTGAGCCTTTACAGTTCCTTTAAACACTAGGGTCTGAGTATCGCTGTCCTTTTTTAGCGCTACTTCTACAGAACTGACTTCTTAGATATCATTTCTGTTTAATAATTAAAACGGGGCTGCACTGTGGTGCAGTGGGTAGCACTGTAGCCATGCAGCAAGGTTCTGGGTGCGAATCCCGGCCTAGGGTCTTTCTGTAAGGAGTTTGCATGTTCTCACCGTGCATGCGTGGGTTCTCTCCGGGTACTCCAGCCTCCTCCTACAGTCCAAAAACATGACTGTTAGGTTAAGTGGTTATTTGAAAAATTGCCCTATGATTGTGTGTGTGCATGACTCTTTGTCCTGTGTGTCTCTGTTTGCCCTGTGGTGAACTGGCAGCCTTTAAAGGGTGTACCCCGCCTCTCGCCCAATGACTGCTGGAGAGAGGCACCAGCCCACCCACTACCCTGCACAGACGACGACGTATAGGCAATGGATCGATGGATGGATAACCAAAACAAATATGGCATAAAGTACTGACATCAAAGTACAGTTAACAGAATAAAGAGCAATATACTAATGAGCAGACTCTAATTTTGTGCAGCAGTTCTAGTTTCCTGTTTTATATTAGGTCTGTTTACACCACAATAAGGCTAATGTTGCTCAGTCTCCATCCCTCATCTTAGTATCCAGCCAGCGCCTTATCAGAGCTCAGGTTGCCATGGTTACAAATCCAAGAGGGAAACCCAGACATCCCTGCAACACTCCAGGTCCTTGAGGCGGATACCAAGACAGTCTCAACTCAGAAGGGATGTAAAATCCCTTGAGCAAGTTCTGGGTCTGCTCCTGAGTCTCTTCCAAGTGAGACGTGAATGGAAAATCTTCAGAGGGAAACATCCTTAACACATTACAATCAAGAAGACCAAACCACCTCAGCTGGCTTCTTTCGAAGTGGAGAAGCAGAGGTTCCACTCCAAGCCCCTCATGTTATCTCCAAAGTTAAGCCTGGCCACCCTACAGATGAGATCTGTAGGGTGGCCAGGAGAGATCATTTTCTTTCGTTCATGACACATACCTCACGACTTGGGTGAAATTGGTAGAAGTCATAAAAATAGTTTCTCTTTTTAAATACCTTTTATATTGCAGTGTTTGTTGGACTTTATTTTCAAAAACCCAGCTTCTTCACTCAGTAACACTGCCCACATTGAAGAGTGCTGTTTTCAGCTCAGCCAGTTATGATGTGAAAAGCTGAACAATTAAAAAAATGAATTTTTGACTTTCCTGATTTTTAGTCATTGGCCAGGCCCAATTTCTCATTGAAT